TTCCTTGATTCCAATTTAGGCAATAAGTCGCAGCGTGAATCCTACATACGTGCGCTCTGAGATTCTAAACACGGCAACCCCGGTCGACCACAGGCTGCAGCCCACATGGGTCACTTCGGATCAGTGAAAGAGCCCGTATATTTTTCTTTTTTTTTGCAAAGCATAAAGATTGTGCCTATCGATCAACGTATAGTTATTTTATCGTTTCGAATTCGCATGGATGCGTTTGAGAATAAAATGTCCGTAGCCTGAGCTCGTTTCCTATATCATGCTACAAATTCATCTAGATCAAGGTTTTTTGATAAAAAAAACACCAGGCTGCAAATTGCATTCATTGGATTTTATGAAAATCAGCGAAAGCTGGTTCTTATGTATTTTGCAACACCTAGTACCTAAATCATGCATGAAAATGACGTTACATTTTAGACTGACGCCCCTGTCACTAGCTTACAATGGCGCCCCGCTTATGGGAAAAAGTCGCCCCCTCGAGCACCATGGCCCCCCCCTTTCGCTGATCTCTGGCTACGCCACTGTCACCACCCCATATCAACTCACCCCGGTTTACGGTACCGATTGTATGCGAGCCTCAAACCGGATTAACCCGCGCCCTGCTGGGGGGGGTGTTTGAACACCCCCCCCCTTGTGGTTTTTCGCGAATATCTCAAAAACGGCGGCGCGGAGCGCCGCCGTTTTTGGTACACCTTATCATACATCAATTCTACACATGTTGTGAAAATTTCAGACCAAGGTCATTCAAGGTCAGGTTACCAGGTCACTTGAAGTGACCTCACCTCATAAAAAGTTTCAATGTCTGTCATAGCTACACCGAGTGACCGATCGCTTTGAAACTTTCAGCGATTGCTAAGAGCAATAGCATGTACAAAATGTATATCTCAGAATTTTGATATCGATGACCTAAGGTCAGGTCAATTTTGCGACCTCCCCATTATAAGTCAATGGGAGAAAATTGAAATGCGCCTCTTTTGGACAAAAGACATTATAAACACTTCCAAACACCGAATTACAAGTGGTTTAGACAAACTGAACATGAAAATGGTGTCAGTGACCCTTGTTTATGCCCTGAGGTCATCTTAGGTCACGAATGGTATCTAACAGTTTTTCGCAAATAACTTTTGATAGAGGCATGCTAGAGCGATGAAAACGCCTTAGATGTGTTCAGCTCGACGATACGGATCGACTGATGTGCAACATGACCCTTTCCGGTCAGGTCATGACCTTGACCTGAGGTCAAATTTTCAAGTTGACCTTTCAAGGTCAACTTATAGTTCATTCGATGCGTCTTGACGAGAGGAACACAATGCCGGTAAAAGTAAGCTCGTACAAGGCTTGGGTCAAAAGTTATTGCAGAAAAACTGTTTCCGAAAAAATCGGCTATTTTTGCAGTTTTTGCCCCCTGCAGGCAAAACCGTTGACGTTAGGTCAAATCTGAGAACATTACTCAGAAAGGACTTTAATAGGGCTATCGAATGCGCTTTTCCGCGGCGCTGTAGCTCTATTGGTTCTCGAGTTATGCGTTGGCTTCTTGGAAATTTTCGACATTCGACCTGGAAATCGGCGAAATTTTGCCTTCAATGACCTCTGATGACCTGACCTTTGACCTGACCAAAAAATTGACCGAAGTGATTTCGTCATTATTTTTGACGCTCTTTCGAACGCCGCCTTCCGCGTATCGCTACGTGGCCCAGGAGCCGAGTTACAAGGGGGGGGGGGGTGTTCAAACACCCCCCCCCCCCCAGCAGGGCGTGGAAATCCAGGACCCCCAGCCGGGCGCGGGTTAAAGCCGGTTAGCCCAGTCACTTCCGCCATCAATTGACGTCTGCCTAAAAATGAGTTAAACAGGTATATTGTCACATCACTTTCGTAAACGGAAGCAGGGCGGTCCACTTTCTACTCACCCCATCGCACAGTGGGGATTTTTCCGATCTAGCGCCTATTAATTCAAAAAATATTTTTTGGATTTTTGTTTATTTTTTGTGTCAGTAGGGCTAAGAAATGTTTGAATTTTTCATATATGGCATTGTTTTATCTGTATGTCCACAGCAAAACTAGGAAAAATGCGCCCAAAGTTAACACTCATGCGTGATTACTCAATGGGCTCAGCAAGGCCCGAAAGTATAGCTCAATTTCATTGTCCTGTCCTGTTGGTTTTAATCTTGCGAGGTCTTAAAGTTGCATATCGTCTGAAAGGCACCTTTATTAGGAATGGAATGGCAAACAGAAAGTATGCCACAACCTTACTAAGGTCACAAAAATGCCCTTTACAAAAAACCTTTACAGACACCATATTGAAGGAATGGTATTCTAAATAAATGTAGGAAATCAACAATGTTCACCACACTTTTCCACTCCGAAATATATCCTATCGAATTCGCCACTTTCTTCTGCACAAGACAACGCCTAGTTTGGCTGCCGAAACTTGCCTGAACACGGAATATTCACATTAGAGTATCTTAACACCCCACTCGAGGAGCGCTAGGGCAAACAGCACGATATAGGTACGTTCCGGACATAGGCGAATAATTTTACTTCGTGATTTATATGATGCATATTTTCTGAGACACATTCATTAGGAATAGGATGACAAGCGTAAATTATACATACCGTAACCTTATTAACCATCGCACTTGTGGGGAGGGGGAGGGGGAAGGGGTCGGATAAAACCCCATGGTTTTCCGCAAATTACTCGCGCAAAAAGCGGCCGATCGCGCCGAAACTTTCGGTACCCTCGAGATCATCAATTTTACATCTAACCTAAAAATTTCATGACTCTGACCCAACTGACCTTTGACCTGTGGCATATTTCTCGAGACCATGTTTGGCCGGAATCGCGATTCGGCGTATGCCAGCTCACATTATCCGCGGTTTCCAGTCTTTTTGTGGTTTTAAACGTTCAAATAAATGATGTTGGTGCCATGCATAATGGTGGGAGTCAAGGTCACGTGAAGGTCAAGTCAAGGTCATTGACCTTTTGATGACCTTGGTTCACTTTTTTCGAAATTTACTTGTTTCTAGGGTAGTTTTTGGTGCTGATTTCGATTTTAGCAGCCATTTGAATATTTACGAAGTAGTTCTAGTGCCTTCGTTCCATGTTACGAAGCTATCAGTAGTAGGTGACACTTCTATGGATGGCCGGCAGGACGCCTACTAATTGATCTAACGTGACCTGACCCGACCTGGCCTAAATGCATAAAGACATCGTCTGTGATCAAAACTAACATGAAATTCGTGATCAGCACCCCAAAATACCCCGTAACACCCTAACTTTGCGAAGTTTCAAGAGGTCTCGATTTCCCAACTTTAGTTGGGTCATTAAACTGACTTGGAAAGTCAGCTTATGACCTTGGACTTTGAAATTGGATATATTCGGCCTAATTTCGTCATAGGCAGCACGCTTGACTTTTCCGCGAAGCTCTAGCTTGATCAGGGGCCAAACGGCTGAGCGGGGGGGGTCCAATTGAACCCCCTATACTATGTTGGTTATGCACATTTACAGGTAAAATTCTCACCAGGGCACACCAGCCAACATCTGTGCACAATCTGGCTACAATTCTACCCATGGTTTGCCCTCTACGAATAAATAGGTGCTAGATCGGAAAAATCCCCACTGTGCATCGTTATAATATAGCCCAAATAAGCCAAATATAGCAGAATGAGCATCAAACGCACGCTTCTTTTACGGAGAACTCGGGGGTTGAAACTTGAAGGCTCCACGGTTTTCACTCGACAATACAGTACAGTACATATACTATACAGTACAATACAGTACATATACTAATGAGTCATAGCCGACCTATTGTTCTTCCTCTCCTACTTTAATTAAAACGTGAAGAGGGTCGCAGCTAGTTACTAGGCACACGCAAGCAGTTTATAGCCAAGGAAGAGTGTGCTTTCAAGTCTCAGCCTGGCAGTGCGACTGGTGCATGCGCATTGCGCATGCGTCATGCGTGTCATTTAAAAGCTTAAATTGCCGATTGAAGTATGCCACATTCTGGTGAAGAGCTATTTCCGCGTCAACTCATAAGCCCTTCTGCCTCTTGGTGACTGATTACAGGGCGGAGACGTGGCCGAAGTAAAGCTACCGAACGTGACACTGCTGCTGTTCTTACTGGCCGCTGTGTTAGAGAAACCTATGATGACGTCTTCGGTGATAGATGTGATAACCAATGAGGTGTGGTGGAAGCGGTGTTCGGCTGCCGCCGCTAAGGCCATGAAGGTGCGGGGGGACATAGCCGGGGTATGAGTGGCTCCCATGTCCCAGATGTCCCAGATGTCCCAGCGTCCCAGAGAGATGTTCCGGATATCCGTGATGGGGACGTGGGTCGTCGTTGCCACAGATGCCGTTGTCTTCGGTGATGATAATTCTGCCCTCAATGCCAGTTATGACGGGAGACAGTCGCTCGATATGATCGCGGAGGAGATCAACGTCGAGCAAGTCTGGCGAGAAAAGAGATTGCCGTTAGTGCTGCGATAGAAATATCGAGTATTTTACACAGTGTAGTTAGTCTTCGAGCAACACGTTAGGTCAAGCCAATCATTCAGATTGCAATCACTTAACCCACACAAAGAGTGTGGGTAACACAAACGCGCGAAAAAAGAGGATGTCCACCGCGCTTTCACGTGCACTTAAAAATAGTCACCGTGCTTAAAACGTGCTAGAATCAGGCTAGAATATCAAACGACATCCAAACGCTCTTGGAGCAAGCGCACGGAGCCGGCGGTCTTAGTTACTTATCAGAAACTGCCAGTTATATCAGTCTTTATAACATAATCTAATGATCACTGCTCACCTGCATTCAGTTCGGCAATTTTATTATCTCTGATGACATCATAACCATCTCCTCCCTGAGAAAGGAAGTTCGGCATTGCGATTCGGTACTCGGTATCGTCCTGAACGAGCTCCAGACGAGGCACGAGACAGAAGGTGCACGTGACCTCGAGGCGGCGCACCCGTGAACCCACCGGACACTCGAGGTCATAGGTCACTCGTATGCCTGTAGGCGGAATGGGGGAAAAGTTACGCTGGTCATTTGAAAATTGTGGGATGCTAACAATCCGGAAAGTATGCATGAGTGAGAAGCTTCAGTCAACACAGGGGCGTCGCCGACGGGGGGGTCGGGGGGGTCGTGACCCCCCCACTCTTGAAAACTGGGGGTGTCGACCCCCCCCCACTTTTTGCGATGCTGAGTATGCTTTTTTAGCTTTTATGTCAGTGAAGCAGGCGTCAGCAACACCAACAAATACATCAGATTCAGAATCGCTTCAAGAGCTCCCTAAAGCCAATTAGCCAATTACCTAAAGTTCAATTAGCTGTGGGCGGGGAACACCAGCACAACAATATTTTTAAGTAGCCACCATTCTAGTACCTTTTTATCCCTCAAAGGATTGGACGCGCCAAAACTGCCCCGAGCGTTCGTCTGATCGTTAAAAAAAAATGGTCGCAGTCGATTCGTCGGATCAGTACCTAACTACAACTACAAACTAGCCTCAGCCCCATGGCTATCGTCACAACTAGCTGTACAGTGCACATGCATGGGGAAAGGGAGTCAGATGAAACCGTCTCGGGCTTTCGCAAAGAAGTCGCGCAAAAGAAGCCGATTGCAACGAAACTTCCGGTGCGCTCGTGTTAATCACCTTCTTTAAAATAAATCGATATCCCTGATTCAAATAAAGATGACCTTGGTTCACTTTTTCATAACATGCTTTTGATTTAGGTATAGGATAGTTTTTGGAGCTGATTTTGAACTTAGCGCCCATCTGAACATTTAAGAAGTGGTTGTGTTGCTTATACATATGTATAACATGTTAGGAAGCAATCGGTGGTGGTCATCCACTACTAAGTACTGGTCGATCTGACCTGACCTGATCTACCCCAAATGCATGGAGTCATCGTCTTCGTTCAAAACTAAGATAACATTCGTAATCAGAACCTCGAAAAACCATCACAACTTACATTCGCAAAGTTCTAGCAGGTCCCGAGTTTCCCTACGTAATGGCGATGACCTGAGTCCTGAGATGACCCGAAACCTTGTAAATGGGTATCATCGGCTTTCTCTCGTCACGGGCAGCATGCTCTTTTTTCCGCAAACCTCTAGATCGATCAGGGGTCGAAAGCATACATCAGCGTTACTTTAGTATACGTTATAAGTTAGCGACTGGGAGCCCACCAATAGAAGGGCTACAGTGAAGCAGAAAACATATTTGATAGCTCTTTCAACGCTCTTTCGCTAGCTTCGGGTCAGACTTCATCTCAGGTCTATGTTTTGCCCATAGAAGGCGAACAGCTAACTGGACAGATTCTGCCGAAACATTTGCTTTGCAATAACCTTAGATTCCGTGAGTTTGTATGGTATTTACATATGTTGTCTTGTCACCACTGTGTTTATCTCTTTGAGACGCGTCACATGAGTTAAAATTTGACCATTCAGAATTAACGTTAAAACGACCTCAGGTCAACGTTATGTCCAGATCGAAAAAGGACCTCCTGCTGCATATGAATGGATCCGTGTTGTTGAGCTGAACTATGAACACCTTCCAGGTGCTGTCATCGCTCTACCGCGTCTTCGTCAAAAGTTGTAGAAAAAAAAATGCTGGTGGCCATCGATGGACATTTCCACTAATGACCTTTCGAGTCATCACTCGCCATAAGTTGCACCCTGTCCCTGGCAATGATGAGCTGATTTGTCATGGCTCCAAAGATATTTTGCGTTTCTGACGAACTTTTTCAAAGCAGGAGGCATTCGTGCTTTTTATAATTTCTCATTATTTTCTAATGATGAGGTCACGTATTTGACCTGCCTCCAGATCATAGATGTAAATCCTCAGAATCATTAATTGCTGACACGTATAACCCCATACATTAGGTATACACTATACAGTGTACCAAATTTCGAAGTTATGGGAGAAAAGCTACAAGAATGGCGAGAGGGGAAAGTTTGATAGAGGTATACCGTATAACTGAACTTGACATAGCGACCTGACCTTAAGTGACCAGTGATAATTTTTACGCAAGTGATGTAGGTAGGTATACCTACCTAATAGGTTATACCAAATTTCGCGGCGCTGCACGCCGCTTTGTTACACGCGCACACATGCACATACGCACGCACAAAACTGGCAAGTGTGGCAAAAAAACACCCCTACCCATCGGGTGAAGACTAGAAACCCGACCCCCCCACTCAAAAATCCGTGGCGACGCCCCTGAGTCAACACCATGAATGTTGACATAAAACATGTAAACTTCTGTTTGAGCTGGCATATGACATGTTTTGCTTTGCAATTTTCATGGAATATCTAATGCTCACACAAACTTGGCAAGAAGAAATGCTTTAGGTAAAAACATATCAAGCAATTCTAACGAGAAATTTTGGGAGAAAAATGTTTCACACCTGCGACCTGCAGGAATCGTCCAGCGCCCTCCTCCACTGCTGAGACGGAGTGTTCGAACACATCCCGCAGCGTGGCGCCGCGGAGGGTCACCACGTTGATGGTGTTGCCGAACGGCTGAATCTGGAGCACATCCGAGAGCCGGACGGATCCAGGCGCCACCGACTCGCGGATCCCACCGCCGTTCATGATGGCGGCCGGTACCTGAAGGCGTTTGTGAAGGAGGGGGTCACTCAGTCATTCACTCACTTACTCACGCACTCACTTACATTCAACATTATCTTTGCTTGATCATTTGGTATTCGCAAACTGCATCGATTCTCAATCCAGCACTGCCGCTCCTACATAGCTCGTCTACAAAATGTTCATCGGCCTTTTGGCACCTCTTTCCTCGCCTCTCCTCAAATGTTGTTATCTTCAGGCCACCTCACCTGGCTCCACTGTCCCTCAGCGGGGGTCAGCAGCGCCCTCAGCGTTGCGTCGGCGATCAGGTTGCCCAAGTTGCACTCCTCGGCGCGGCAGACACTTCTGTCCCCCACCAGTTGTACCAGAGTGGACCCAATCTCCTGGTTCCGGAGCACGACCAACTGGAGAATACGTGAGCGGGATGTCAGAGTGGAATTGTATAATCCATCGTCACTTATTCCTCTCCCCTTCCCGCATCCTCTCTCTCCCTCTCTCTCTCTCTCTCTCTCTCCCTCTCTCTCTCTCTCTCTCCCTTGCACCGCACCTGTTCCCTGTACTGCTCCAGGGCCGCCTCAGCAGTCTCGTCCTGCTCTCCGTCTAGCAGGATCGGATTGCCGCCCCAAGCAGTCACCTCGCCAACGTCATCAAATGTCACGTCCAGCCTGCCCAGGTACTTGCCGTACTGGTACGCCTGAACGATGAGCACGGTACGACCCGAGTCCTGGCGTACCACCACCGGGTACGGCCCCTCAGTGGGGTCTTCATGCGGTGCATCTCCTGTGAAAGGTTGATGACGTCAGCGGAAGTGTGTAGCCTCAGTACCGGCATGTATTTGTATGAGTGCGTCACTCTCCGAGATGCATTGGTAAGGATAAAGCTTGGGCCTTACCAGAGCAGACCGATATATAAAACGATGTCTATGTGTTACAGTTAGTATGCGAAATCCGTTAGGTTAGGGGAGAGTGGGGCACATTCGTGCAAAAAATGGATAAATCCATATATCTGTTCTTTGGTTAGTGCAACGGCAAAATTGTTGATTGTAGTATGGAAAGGAACTATTGCACATATTTTTCCTCTTAAAACTTATCCTCTAAAGTTACCGCTTCTATTAGAAAAAATGACTTTTAATAACTCTTAACGTTTGCACGAAACTGCCCCAGGTATGGGGCACATTCGTGCATGGGGTGGGGCACTTCCGTGCACCCTGCAAAATTAAATGAATTACCGGGCATTGCCAGAAATTTACCAAAAGAAATGGGCAGGGGGTCATTTTACTTGATTCCTTTCCACAGGAATGCATTGCACAACGTATGTAGAAAGAATTGGCTGACCAACAAGAATGTGCCAACCGCCGGCCATCGACCCGCCTCCGTGACCTCTCCAAGGGTCACGTGAATTACTTGTCACGACGTCACAAGCAGCCGAGACTGAGTCAGGCGAGCGTCGCTACTACAGATAAAGTCATAAATCGCAAAAACGAAAAAAATATGCAGGAATGTGCCCCTAGGCAGTGCGTGCACGAACCTGCCCCACAGCACTATTTGTAATATAATTCAAAATTTCTTATTGAAAAATGACAGTTTTTCAACAAACAAGTTTGCAGCAGTTCCGTGAATAGAGTGAGCTTCTTCGGACTCAATTTTGAAAAGTTAAACCACATTTCCGAGTCAGGATCACGAAAATGGATGATATGAGAAAAGTTTGGAAAGCCCACGAATATGACAAATTTGCGTTTTTATCAAGCATGACATCAGGTACAGTGTTGTCTCCTACAGTGAACGAAGGGCGGCAATGATAGACATATTTTCATATTTACCTTTAGCTCGTGCAGTCACTCGTGTTCCCATAAATTGCTGAAAACGAATGTGCCCCATGCACGAATGTGCTCCACTCTCCCCTACTATGTAACTAGTTACGTTGCAAACTACCTGACCGGCCAGGTAGTTTGTAACCTAATTTAGTTAGTTTGCAACGTAACTACGTAGTTAGGTTGCAAACTACCTGGCCGGTCAGGTAGTTTGCAACGTAACGTTACGTTGCAACCTAACGGATTTCGCATGCTAACTGTAACATATGCATGTCAGGCCTTGACTCGGCAGTATAGACACACATTGGAGGAGTAATCGTACGCTTCAGCTACCTATAAGGTAGTGTGGCCACTAGGCCAGTCACTGGTTACAGCTATCAGCTTGAGCTACCACTGACCACAGCACCTAGCTGAAGTGATCTTTGGCTGCAATATATAAGCTCCACAATAAGGGCTTCAGCTTTCAGCTGTGGAGCTGAAGAGCACTCACCTGTGTAGAGAAGCGAGTGAGAGTGACCGCCGACAATGATGTCGACGTCCTCCAGCAGCTCAGCCATCTCCATCTCGCGCTTCAGTCCCGAGTGGCCCACGGCGAGGATGATGTCGACGCCCTGCCCCCTGAGGCGGCTGGCCTCTGCGCGCAGCGCCGCCACCTCGTCGGTGAACGTCACCTCTCGTGGCGCATTAGAAGTGCTCTGTAAGACAGGCGGTCAATTCTTTCATTGATTTAGTGACAGATAATTTAGATTAAGTTTTTAATTTTTTCACTTTGACGCTCGTTTTGGCAATAATGATAACCAGGAACGATACGGACGAACGATAATGATACTGCGTGCGAGGAACAACTGATGATGTGAGGTCAGTTAGGGTTAGATCAACCAGATTGTTTAAAATGTATGCCTAAGTTTTGCTGTCTCAGCGCTATATTCTCCGAGGAAAGCACGACCAGAGGAGTACGGCTTGCGGATGGTCTCTGACTCCGATCCCCATTGCGCGTACGGCAGCTTAGATCACATCCCGTCGGGATATCCCTCGTTCTGCATCGTTTCCACGGCTTCACGTCCCCGACGCACCCTCGTTTCGGTCGTCGTGTATCCCATGATGCCGATCTTGCGTCCATCGAGCTCCCGGACCACGCTGTTGGCGCACTGCTCGGTGACGGACGAGGTCAGAGCGCCAAAGTCGATGTTTGTGCACAGCTGCTGGTGGTTAACGCCCTCCAGATATGGCAGCAGACCGTCCAGACCGTCGTCGAACTCGTGGTTGCCCAGAGCCTGCAGCAACGCCATAGTGCACTGGGACGTTTACTGGGACGTTTTTAAAACGTCCTAACACATTCAAGCTCATTTTGATTTACGCAACATTCACTCGAATAAAACATGTTTTGAAACAAATTGCATGGTTTGATTTTATGGCAATGCCATCATTCATCAATCATTATAAAAGCTGCAAACGAAATAACCGGGTGTATTGACTTTGAACTTACCATAGCATCGTACGACACCATATTGATCATCTCGAGCACCACCTGCGACTTGAACAGGGTGTAGTACAGGTCTCCTTGGAATATGTCGCCTCCGTACAGCGCCAGAGTGTTCGGTACCTGCTGTTTGATGCTGCTCACGGCGCTCACCAGCCGGCCAATGCCGCCGTAGCAGGGATTGTCCGGGTCATTGAAGTCAGGGCACGCGCCCGTGCTGGCCGCCACGGGGTCAAAGTGGGAGTGCACGTCATTGTTGTGAATAATGGTCAGCTGAAACTCGGCCGCCGCTGGGCAGAGTGCGACGAGAAGAGACAAAAGGTGGAGACAAGCCATCCCGCTGATGGCTCCAGTGGCCAGTGCTGAGCCCTCGTCACCTGGTCTGTGAGCTCTCCAGAACGACGGGCCTTTGGGGAGCTGCCGTGCCGCTGTCGGTGCTGACTTGTGTCGGCGCGCCGCCCAGATGTCACGTCTTCTGCGGCTGTCCGGTGACTGACACGGTCTGCCAATTATCACCCACCTACACAGGTATCTGCGGACCGCTAATGCTACCGGTCCGAGCAAACCAAACTCGTTTCTTATCACTTTAAAAAGACAGGCGGCGCATTGACGGCATCTTCTCTGATAAATTAAGCTCACCAATTTCTTGTCGGTTTCTATTCAATTAACGCATAGGTACCTACGTCGTATAACGCAAAGTTCATTTGCTGCTCCAAATTTTCAAAATAAAGCATGATGTGTCAGTTTTAGCCGCATATATGGATTGGGGACTACCTAGATAACTTCAGTCGGAGGAGCAACCGGTGAATAGGTAGACGACTGTGGGCAAAAGAAATCGTCGCACGGTACTCTCATCTAATTTTTAAAACCATTCCTAAACGATGAGCACTCAGAACTACACGACGACCTACTTAGAGGTTAGGTAATGAGTTGAATGGCACAGCCTATTTTTTTTTTCTACATTTATACTGAGTGAGCGATTTTGGTGAGGCGGAATAGAGTTCGACGTACGCTACTGTCCTTTGTTACGGAGCGGGCGATGCGAGTGGAGTCTTTGGTAGATTAACCCGCGCCCCGTAGGGGAGGGGGGGGGCGAAACGCCTGTCCTTTTTCGTCGATATCTCCTAAACGACTGCCAGATATCGTCACCAAACTTTGAGGACCTCTCTGGGCATCAATTTTACACATTGTGACCAACAATTTTTCCAGAGGCTCTGATAGGTTGGCCGCAAATGACGTCAGAATGACGTCATTTGCGTCATACCAAATTTGATATCGATACCTCTTTTTTTGGCCAAGTTATAGCGTATACACTGTTCAAAATTGATGACGTCAAATTTTCAAACTCATTGTTTAGCAATTCTACATAGACGTCGTAGCGCAAAACAAAGACCACCATTAGGCTCCCCGTGACGAGCTGCATCGAATCAATACCTACCCATTTTATGCCAAACTATCAACCTTTGCAGGCCCTGTACTTGCAGGTTGCAGGTCCTCTGAAATTAGCCTCTAAGTGCCTAAACCGGCCCCTCAAGGTCCCACATCGGCCTCTGAAAGTCCCATGTCTGTCTCTGGAACCCAAAACTGACCCTTATGTGCCTCTGAGGGCCCCGTACTGGCTTCTGAAGCATCGATGCCGGCTTCTGAGGACCCATATCGGTCTTTAAGGGCCTCACACCGACATCTGAGGCCCCACATTAGCCTCTGAGAGGGCCTCAAACTCGCCTCTATAGGCCCCCAACTGGCCTATGAGGTCTCTACACCCGCCACTGATGGCCCTATTATGTTCTCTGGAAGGCCCAAAGACTTACCTTTGGGCGTCACGTATTTGCCCCTGAGGGCCCACATCAGCCTCTGCGCTCTGGGGTCCCATCTGGGGCCTTTGAGGCCCTTTGCTGATCCTTGAGTCCAACGCTGGCCTCGGGGGGTTTGACATTGTACTCCAAGCCGGGCCCCATTGCAGCCTCTAGGCGATAGGTATCGCCAAAGCGCTATCGATGGGCCCATAAGTGTAGGAACCATGGGTGCAGTGGGTGCAGTTGCCCTAACAAATAACAATAATCCTCCAGTGGGTGGCAGACAATTCTGCACCCACATTAATTTGGAACAAAACCCCCTTTTCTCATCAACACTACTTGCCATGGAGCGCGACAAATTCAGGATATTTTGTCCAACATCTATCTTTCGAAGCATTTGCTAGTTGCTACTGTGATGGTGTTCAAATCTTGGGCATTTGTGCTCAGGTAAAAAAAGAAGACATAAAAAGTAGCACATACCGATGACTGGTGACCCACTGTCAAAAGTACTGCGATATCTTCAAAAATGGTTAAGTAAGCCGCTTTTACTTTATGCGGTAGTCAATTCACAGTTGCGTGAATTATTGACATTATCAATACTTCAAAATGCACTTATCGGTAGGTGCCTTTTTCGATATGGTACAGCCTGAAAGCTCGCAATGAGCCTCCATTCGGGTGCCGCTCCCCCCCCCCCACACCGCTTCACCAGTAATGGCTGGATTTATGCACCCGTGCGGCGTGCACCCACAATGTTCCAGCCGTTCCTGCACCCCGATGGGCCCCTTTAAGCTAGCACCGGGCCCCCGGGTCAGCGCAGGGGCCCCCTTGCCAAGTTGCCCCCCAAACGCCAAGTCTGCGACCGCCCCTGTCAAAAAGGTCAACAAAAATTTCACTTCGATGAATATTAGCATGCAATAATTGACCAAATCCTTTACCGAATCAGAATACAATTAAAACATAACAAACTCCAGCTACCTACATTCGAGCACGACATCACTAAGCTGCTGTCAGATGGCTTTATGATTAGATTTAGTGCTGACATTTATTGCAGCTGAAGCTATTCCAACAGTAGCTCTGGCTACGCCTTCTTCTTTCTCAGCTGCTACTTAACACCTCCTGCTGTTCTGTTGCACTAGTTGCTAACCTATGAGCTCCAGCACCCGCAACCATTCAGCTCCAGCTGACTTCTGACCTCTAGCATCCGCTACCAATCAGCATCCGCTACCACTCAGCTCCATTGCTACCAGCTCAGTTCCAGTTACCCGCTACCACTCAGCTCCATTGCTACCAGCTCAGTTCCAGTTACCCGCTACCACTCAGCTCCATTGCTACCAGCTCAGTTCCAGCACCCGCCACCACTCAGCTCCATTGCTACCAGCTCAGTTCCAGTTACCCGCTACCACTCAGCTCCATTGCTACCAGCTCAGTTCCAGCACCCGCTACCACTCAGCTCCATTGCTACCAGCTCAGTTCCAGTTACCCGCTACCACTCAGCTCCATTGCTACCAGCTCAGCTCCAGCACCCGCTACCACTCAGCTCCATTGCTACCAGCTCAGTTCCAGTTACCCGCTACCACTCAGCTTTATTGCTACCAGCTCAGTTCCAGCACCCGCCACCACTCAGCTCCATTGCTACCAGCTCAGTTCCAGTTACCCGCTACTACTCAGCTCCATTGCTACCAGCTCAGTTCCAGCACCCGCTACCACTCAGCTCCATTGCTACCAGCTCAGTTCCAGTATCCGCTACCACTCAGTTCCAGCACCCGCACCACTCAGCTCCAGTGCCTGCTACTACTCAGCGCGGTGCGCTCGCCGCGGCGTTGAACTGACACACGGGCACGGCGTCGGAGCCGAGCTGCATGCCCCAGCTGCGGCGCTGCGCCGACTTGGCCAGCCGGCGCCTCGTGCGCCGCTGGATGGTTCGCTCCACGTCCGGGTATAGGTGCGCCAGCGTCCAGAACCGCTCCCGTCCCAGGCGAAACAGCGTCGTGAATCCGGGGGACCTGCGAACACAAACGGAGGAGGTATACTATGGCTTGGAACTGAGCTGGAACTTACTCCCTGGCATTGCGGTTTACGAACAGCCCCGAAGTTGCTCACTTTGTATATCATTGTTCTTATCTTTCTAGTTGAGGTTTATTTGCCATTGGGTCTACAGTGCAGGGATATTTCTATCTCGCACTCCTCTGAGATGCAGAGATAAGAATTTGTTATCTCTGCATCCCTCTGAGATGCAAAGATCTTAGCGCTATTGCATAAACATAAGATTTACGCCACCGGAGTAGATCTTAACTTTTTTACGAAACGGCCATACTCTACGAAACACCGTAAAACCTGTTGCATAAAGGCCGTGACCTACTTCGTAAATATTTGGAAAATCTAGGTATGACGTCATACATGAATGAAAATAGTGCCGGATCTCAGCACGAAATGCAGAAGAATGGTGACAATAATGAAAGCGATTAAAGTTCCAGTGTACTGAAATGTGTGAATCACGTTGTCTGGATAAGTGGTTCAAATCACCTTGAATTGATAGCGACTTTAGAAAACCTTTCGTACTTTTCAATATTCATGCGCCCTCCCACATCAAGCGGCGGTCGGCTTGGTAAACAACATCGATCGTGGCATCTTGGGAGTGTGGGATATTCTAAGATCATAGATAATTTGCCCTCACTATGGGTTTCAGTCGATATTCTACATAAATTTGCATAGAACTGAGTGCACTGCATCCGTCTTGAACAGTGCCGTAGCTGCTACTGCCACCTTTCGCCAATTAAGTAAGCTGAGATTTGTACACTCGCCGTCCGGTGGTTGCTAGGTAGGACACGAAAGTAAACAACATTCCAAAGAAGAATTTCAAGACAAGTGTCCAGCTTGGCTTGCAAGATCGAACAAGATCATCATTTGGTGGCTGAAAATGAAGAATTAAGATAACCAGGGCCCAGACTAACAAGTAAGTTTTCTATTATAGCGAATGGTTAGTGAACAATTCAAATTGTCGGTTCATTGGCAGCACACTGCTCACTGCTCAGCCCTTTCAGACCATTCGTGAGCTTTTTCAATAGTTAATGGTTAAAGCTAATGCCGCTACAATTCCTGATCTATATTTTCTTTTGGTGTATTTTGAATTTGGCATCGTGTTTATTAGCCTCAGCCCTCAATTACTTGCAACATTCCAATGTTCTGTCGCTTTTTTCTTCACATTATCTACAATTAGGTATGTTGAAATGCCATATCATATTGATATGGTGTCAGGTGTCTTATCATTAAAATCATTTAAATATCCACAAAATTACGTTTAATATTATATATAGTGGCGCGGGAACTTCTTCCAGACTGGGGGGGCTGAACCATAATAGAAATCAACCTAGGGTACCCCCAAATCTAGTTTTCTCACCGGTTTTAGGCCACTTATTTTTCAGACCTTGGCCTTTTCAACAACAACAAAAAAAAACACGCAAATATTTTCAAAAAGTGAGGTATTCCGTCTCAGCTGAGTGAAGAAATTACCGTTTTGGCAACCTGGAGTAAAGGTTTTAATCTGCCAAATGAGTTGCCGAGCCAGTGAAATAGGTGGATTTTTCACTTACATGCTTTCTTCCTTTGCGACCCACAACCCCTAATTTGGGGAGGACAAGCTGCCCAACGGTTCCTGGCCTCATGAAACGTTGTGGGGCACCGCCCTCACGGCCGCAGAGTTGTGGAGGCAAGCTTCCCCCACTGCCCCCTCCCCCAGTTCCCGCGCCTATGTATGAATCTATGAAATTATCAGGGGGCGTCGAAGTCTAGTAGGAAAACCTGGCAATCCCCGGCGTGACGTAACGTCGGGGATGACCGACGGCACCTTGCACTGAAAGATACGGCAGAACGACTATTTTTGAAAAATGATTAAAAATACTTGGGTGCTGTTTTGACACATTAAACGATTATCAGCATGTTCCTCATCATGTGAAAAAGCCATATCCGTGGTCGAAAATAGCCGAGCCCCTCTCAATTTCCAAACATCGACCTTATAAGCAAAGGATGTAAGCGTAATCCTTAAGGGCGACTTTCCCCTACATATCCGTACATATGCGTCCTTATGGAAATCGGTAGTGTGGCGATAAGCGACGCGCGCGACATCTGTGGGGCGCCTGTGGCGACACCTGGTGGCTGCTTTTCTGCTGTATGTAGGTATTGGGGTTTTGCCAGATATGGTTCCTACTGCTACACCACTATGTTGACCCAATACTAGAAAGTTATTTTGCCCGTAAATGTCAAGCAAATTAAAAGTATATTTATAAAATTGCATATAAATGATTACGAGATAATAATGAAGAAGATTTGATTGATTAGTTATTTAAATATTCAATCGTGAAACTATATTCTGGTAGGTTTAGTAGAAATTAGTCCGTGCAACCTTGTATTTAGGGCCTTGGAAATTATGTTGGTAGATTTCCGATTTCGATTCCTCCAGCTGGGGGGGCTCAAATACATTACGAGCCCCCCCAGCCGAAAAGCTGGGGGGCTTAGCCCCCGCTAGCCCCCCCGGTTCCCGCGCCACTGACTATATATTTGCAAGCAACATGCTTTCGCGCGTTGAATTAGTAGGCACAAAACAGAATGCATATAGGTACAGCGCATATAGGTGCATATAGGTACACAGAATGCATATAGGCACATAATGAATATAGGTATTACAAGATGAATACCTACGTATTCGTCTCTGGGCTTGCGTGATATTTTTCAGTTTCAAACGTAAGCATTAAGGGCATATCAGCATAGCATCTAGATACCTATTGGACTATTCTGAATCTGCCAGTGAATTGCTTATTACTTTCAATTCACAGGCTTTAATTAAATGACATTGCTAATTAAATTTAATTAAATGGCACTGGCTAAAATTGGCTAATTAAATTTAATTAAATGCACTGGCTAAAATTGGCTTTAAAAAGTCAACTTTACCAGTATATAGCAGGGCACAGTCACAGACCTTTATGCTTGCATTCAAAGAAGGCTGAGAGCGAGGAGATACATGTTGTCATAAAAAGTTCATTATTCGCTCGATTTACTTTTTCCGCCCCTGTCTATATGTATCGCCTCTTTCCTGATTCCCTCAGTCCTCTCTCCTATTTCATGCTCTGTCAGCCACTTTGCCTTCGAAAATGATCTCCTCTCAATCCATTCGTTCTAGTCTTTCTGATACTTACCGACATCTTTATTTCTGTTTCAGGAATTTCTATCCGACTTCGTGGAGGAGTCTTCTGACCAACGCATTCGGCTGTTCTACATGAAGGTTGAAGAATCCCGCTGGGTTCAGCCGACAGAGGGCTCTGATAAATCGCCGATAGATGGCGGCTGCTACGCCAAGAGTCACTACCTTCGTTGAAATCGTCCTATCAGCAGCGTCTTATCCCGGTGTTGGCGTACTTGGGAAAAGTGAGGCTGTGCAAGCTCAGCATCATTTGTTCCCTTTTTTAAGAAGCGCTCTGCGTGTTACGATTACAGTGACATGTCAAGTTTACGTGGGTCTCTAGCTCAACTTGAATCGCGGCCGTATTGGTGCACAGACGTTCTCTGAATACGTATGGTACATACGTGCTAGAATCTGAGGCGAGTGTGTTTGGATGTTCACTAAAATCGTCAACGGAATGTGGGAACCAGAAATAAACATCGACACGGCTGATATGTTTGATGACTAATGCGTCTGCAGTTCCTCAAACGAGCTACGAGCGTGGTTTAACGTCAGTCACCACCGTTGTAGTACAATTGTCGGGTACGACCATGCTTATATCATGCTATCGCATTGGTTGAGAAATGAGAGGTGCGGTCTTTCTATAAATTGTTCGAGGATAAGAAAGCATCAGTGTGTTAAGGAGTTACCTTCATATGCATTCATAACTGTATAAGGACTCAAAAAGTTGGAATTCGGCGTCAAACAGCTGCAATAGCCGACTTTCGGCTAAAATCTAAGAAGCCCACCCCCTCCGTAGAATATTTTACGATTTTTACACATTTGGCGCATCTACGACATTTCCTGCGCGTTTCGGCGAACTACTTTTTCTTAAATCTTAACTTATATGCAACAGAAACCCCCAAAAGTTACGTCACGTGCTGGAGTAAATTCCTTGCTCGCCGTACTATTTTCAAGACCTTTGTGAAACAGATTGGCGTAGAATAAGTACGATTCTAAGACAATTCGTAAAATATCCGGTGTCGTAAGTTTTATGCAATAGCGCTAAGGTCTCGAGGGTTCATAACGAAAAATCAAGAGTTCAAGTGATGATGGGTCAATAACCGAACGACGTTTTTAATGGTTGTTTATGGATGAAACTTATGAAATAAGAACAAACTACTTTGAATCTATTTTTACATGGATGAATGCATTTAAATATATTATTTTCTTAATTAAAAATAAACCTCAACATAGAAAGATATAGAGGATTCTTCATGGCTCCGAGTGGAAGATAAGGATATCTTTTCCAAGCGGGTTACTGAAAAACCGAGCGACGAAGGAGCGAGGTTTTTCTGTAACACGCGAGGAAAAGATATCCGATCTTCCACGAGTGAGCCATGAGGAATCCTATATCTTTCTATGTTAAGGTTTATTCTTAATTAATTAAATATTTTATTTAAATGTATTCATCTACCTATGTAAAAAAGATTTAGAGTAGTTTGTTTTTATTTCATAAGTTTCATACATAAACAGATATTAAGAATGCCGTTCGGTTATTGACCCATCATCAGTTGAACTCTTGATTTTTGGCTATGAACCCTCGAGACCTTATCTTTGCATCTCAGAGAGATGCAAAGATAACAAATTCTTATCTTTGCATATCAGAGGAGTGCGAGATAGAAATATCCATGCACTGTAGACCCATTGGCAAATAAACCTCAACTAGAAAGATATAGGATTCCTCATGGCTCACTCGTGGAAGATCGGATATCTTTTCCTCGCGTGTTACAGAAAAACCTCGCTCCTTCGTCGCTCGGTTTTTCAGTAACCCGCTTGGAAAAGATATCC